TGGGCCAAACCCTAGATATCACATGCTCTGCTTGAAGCCTTAAATCCTCAACCAAGCCTCTTGCGGTAAGCTTTGTAGCAACCTTAAACCCTGAACCCCTAAACTCTAAAACCCTAAACCCTAAACCCCTTTACCCTAAACCCTGGCCCCTAAACCCCTAAACCCTGAAGCATTGAAACTTCGCAGTCATCGACTTGGCTCAGGGGGGTTGGGGGGTTAGTGATATCTAGGAGTGCCTATTAGAAGCCCAAAGCTTGGAAACCGAATAGCCTCAATCCTTTTGGGTTTGGTTTAGGGTTTAGGGTTTTAGGGTTTAGGGTTCACAGTAGAAGCCCAAAAGTTGGAAATTCCATAGCCTCAGCCCTTGAAAGTAATGCATAGGGAATCTCAGCTCTATTTCTCCTTAATGCAGTTTCCAACTTTCTGGGGTTCAGTGCCGGTATAGTCTTTTGCTACTTACTAACACAGTTCAAGGGCTACAGTTTGAAGTTAGGGATTTAGGATAGAAGCTGCCTAGATTTCGAACCCTTTGGGGTAAGGGACCCCATGGGCAGCAAGTTTCCCCAGGAGGGACCTACCTTCGCGAGCATTCGCCTCGGATTCAATACTCTCGGCAGCATTGGGAGGTAATATAAACCTTGGGTCTTTACTCAGGTTCTCTACAAGGATCCTAAATCTCCCGGGTCATGGGAGCAGGGTTTCTTAATCAGGCTCCCACGTTCGAGTTCAGGCTCGTCTCTTGACAGTAAGAACGAGCTTCACACATCAGCACGCAATTAGGAGGGTGTCCAGAATCGAAAACAACTAAGCCCTAAACCCCAAACCCTAATAGCGGTTTGTTTGAGCAGGAAGGGGCATTATCCAGGCATGTCCTGCATGACTGCGACGGGGTCGTATGTGTATATACATATATATATTTAACCTCCTTAAAAAAAAAATATATATATATATATATATGTATGTATAGGGTTTAGTGAGGGACCGTAATCATTGGAAAAGGGGTTGGAGAGTAAATCTTGGCGAAAGTATACGGACCAGAAGGCAGTCCCATTACTAGCTATTCCGATCCCTGTATCCGGAGTCTTTTTCGGATAACCAGCTGTTCGCCATCTGGGTCTCCCTGCTCTGTCCTTGCATGGAAGCCGAAGATGGACGGGGAAGACACCGGGTCTGCAAGAACCACCTCGGCTTCAGCCAGCCCGGCCTTTAGCCATGGCTTGTAAGGTCTTACAGGTTGGACCCCAGAAGCACGTCCTAAATCCCAACCCTTCAGGTGTCTCGCTCTTGCAACTAAGGAAGCAGCGCGGGGAGAACTTGGTGCCCCTCAAAAAGGTAGAGCAGGTTGGTGCTAGAAGGGTCTCAGCTACGGTTGAAGGTGTCTGGGATTTCGGCGCTTGCGTACTTCTGGCTATTATCGTCATTCGTTGATCCTTTTTGCTTGTTATGATTGAAGTTACTTGACTATATATGTATCTAGAAATGTCTGTTTATGTAGTGTTATATATCTGACTTTGTTTCCGATATGGTATTATACACGATGTACTACCCGCTATATAGTGTGTTGTTATATATATATATATAAACAATTATGTCTTTGTATATATACATACATATCTATCTATCTATCTATCTATCTATCTATCTATCTATCTATCTATCATCCTGCAGCTGTCCTAACATTCGCTTCGCTGTCTCGGTGGGGGATTACGCTCTCAAGCTCGCTTCTGGTGATCTGTCACGACTCCGAAAGAGGAAGGACCGTCAGAGCGAAATACCGGCATGCTGGAAGCTTAGTGTAGGGGCCTTAAAACGAGGAGGGGGGTGTTCTGACAGGCTTGTTTCCCTAAGCCCTAAACCCCAAACCCAAAACCCTAAACCCTATACTATAAAAAGGACCCTAAACAGCTGCTCCACCGAACCGCAAAGTGCCGCCTGCTTCTCAAATCCTGTTGTTCAGCCGCCTTTCACACAGAGAGCCCACTCCGATCCTCGGCATCGCCGGAAGTATCCTGCCGGAGGCGGTAACTTCTTTGCGCATAGCTGAAGCGTCTTGCATCCGCGAAAACGGCAGGCAGGCCGTGCCAGCCCATTCAGCTTCGCTGCCTTATCTGTCGGCCAGGGGTCCTGACTTGCTGATCGCATGTGTCCATTCCACCTTGGATCAATGAGGCAGAACTTGTTTCGGGCTCTTTGAGCCGGTGTCGCGATGGGAAGGACACCAGCTTCAGCCAACCGCTGCATCTCTTGGTGCACTGCAGCGGGAACTTCAGCAGTTGCTGCGACCGACAGCCGGCGGCCGACAGAGGCAGTGGGCACCGACGCGGCGTCAGAATCCGGTTGACGGGAGGGGGGGGTGAAAGTATGAACAAGTATCGGTCGACTTGCTGAGGCCCCATATGCGGATTTAGGGCTTAGGGTTTAGAGTACCCTATCGCCTGACAACCTCGAATGAGGCTGTGTGAAGGCGCTTTCGTTAGTACACTCACAAGATTGGAAGCCGACGGCTTTGCCACAGTATATCTACACACATCTTTACATGTATCTTTTTGTGTTTCTTTAACTATGAGCACCACCAGGACGCGGCTCAACCTTGGCTATGTGAACCATCAAAGGGCAGAAGACACCCACAACGGTGGGATTCTGCACAACCGACTTGCTTCGTATGTGACCCATAACAGCCTCCTATAAGATTCGGTTCTCCAGCTTCATCTAGGTAGTTCTCTAAATTGGGGTCTCCTTTTTTTATAAGGGTGCCGTGCTATAAGGGACCTAAACCCTATAACCCTACTATATTGGGGACTTAAGAAGGGACACGAATTTAGAGAGCTACCCATATGCTGAACCCTGAAACCTCGCACCCAACGTCGTCACAGCCAGGGTCCAAGCAAGCCTCAAGTTTAGGGTATAGGGTGATGAAACCCTACCTCCACCCTAATCACTTAAACCTTACATGATAAACCCCAGAGCAAACACGGCCCTGCGTAAACCAGTTTCAAAACCAAGCAAACCCTACTTAAACTCGAGTTTCACACAAGGTACACCTACTGGAGCTCTGGATGAACAGCGCGCAAACCCCGCTGAACCCAACTTCATGCATAAGTATGCTCTAAATTAGACTTAGCCCTAAATCCTAAACCCTAAAACTCGAGGCGCTAAACCCTAAACCCTAAACTCTAAACCCTAAACCTTTAGGGCACCTCCTGGCGCAGCAGTCCAAACTGATCCAGGAGGATCTCCAGGAGATGCATCCTTAGGGTTTACTCTAGAGGCCTTAAAAAATAGGATAGGGTTTTGGGGCCCATTATACTTGAATAAGGAACCCCCCAAATAGTATTGGTAATTATTAAGGCCACTGTACAAAAGGTTTTGTTACGGGATCCTTTTAAAGGGCTCTACAAGGGGGTACGAAAAGGGCTTAACATAGTAGAACCCAGCCAAGTAAACAGGGATCTATACGAACTAGAAATGGGATTTAAGGATGCTGTAGCATCTGCAATGGTGCATTTAAGGCTCACTCAAGTGCTATGTAAGGTCTACCAAATGCTTCTGTAAGGCTTGCTGACGCCTTACTTAAGCTCTAATCAATGGTTCAATTGGATTTCTGCCAGGGTCTAAGGAAGGCTGCTTAGATTTTATGGGACAGGTTTCATTTGGGAAAAGTTACTGCAGTTGCAATTAGGATTTGCGTGAAGGCTTTCTTATGGCTTCCTTGTGGTTTGAGGTTTAGGCATGTTCAGGGTTATAAGGTTAAAACGTGGATAAGGCGACTTAACTAGACCGCTGGCGACTATCCCCCGCCTTCCCAGTGGGATCCTTCGTGGGCGACGGGGTATACCCATAGGCTCGACAGTAGCTCCTTTCTTGGGATTACCTCATAGGATCCTTCAGGGTTTAGGGTTTAGGGGTTCCTTGTTTGGGATTACCTTATCGGATCCCAAATGTAAACCACAATAATACTCTCCAAAACCCTCTTCTAATTATTAAGGCCCTATACTCGTATAATTGGCCCCGAAACCCTAGTCTACTTATTAAGGCCCCTATATGAATTACCCTCTATTACGGCTCAGGGTTGCCATTCGGCATTCCGCTTTCTTCGTTGCCCAGGTCTAGACCCAGAGGCCACCTTTTCAAGAACCGGTTCGGGGGTGTAGTTCCTGAAAGAGGGTTGATGGTCTAAGGCCTGGCTAGTTTGGGTACCTAAAGGATCATGGGACTTAGTAAGTAGGGTTATAACTAAGGTGCCTATACTTATGACCCCAATTAGGGGACTGATAACCTTACTTACTAAGTCCCATGGTCCTCCAAGTAATGAGTTGTTGGCCCACACCCTAAACCCTAAACCCTAAACCCTAAACCCTAAACCCTAAACCCTGAGCACCACTGCCGTAGCTTGAGAGAGCTTCAGGTCTTCAGGTTCTGGGCTCTGCTTGGCCTATGGGTACTTGGAGGCCCAGGGGACTTAGTAAGTAGGTTATAAGTAGAGTTATAAGTACCCTAAATGGAGTTACCCCAACTATAACCCTACTTATAACCGACTTACTAAGTCCCCTGGGCCTCCAAGTAAGGAGAGGAACCCCCGGAACGGAAAACACGGAACCGGTATCTCAAAGGGTCCAGGTACTAGTAAACTGTATACGTCCGGAGCCCACTATAGCTACCAAGAGTAGATTGGTACTATAGCTACCAAGAGTAGATTGGTACTTGGACCCTTCGGGTATACTGCGGACCTTGTGGGTTTTTCAGTATTTGGGATGTTGAATTACAACTCGAACCCTACTTGGAGGCGCAGGGGACTTAGTAAGTAGGTTATAAGTAGAGTTATAAGTGCCCTATATGGAGTTACCCCAATTGTAACGCTATTTATAACCGACTTACTAAGTCCCCTGGGCATCCAAGTAGACCACTAAGCTCCTCCACCCCTGAACCCTTTCAAGCCCCAAGCCCATGAGCCCTGGGACCCCATGCCTCAAACCCGAAGCCGTATTCTGGGTTTAGGGTCTAGGGTTCAGGCTTTAGGTTTTATTGGCGTTTAGGCTTTTAGGGTTTAGGGCTTTTAGGTTGGAATCATCATAGCGTTCGCTAGATGGGATCCGTAGCTGAGGGATGCATTGGAGTCGCAAGCCAAGCTTGAAATCTGAAGCCCAGCACCCTCTAATTAACGCCCTGAGTATCCCGAGCAAAGATATATCTCCGAAGAGACAGCCCCAAACCCTAAACTCTGAACCCTAAACCTTCATGTCGAGCGACTTCTCGTCCACTTGTGACTCGTACCTGCAAGCCAAGGTGTCAGTTTGACGGTTCAATTCGGGAGGCTTATGAGAACTTAGCCGAATGGTTCTATACGGGTACAAGGGTTCTACATAAAGGGACTACAACAGCTCAGGGTTTAGGTTCAAGGGTTCATGTACCCATACAGCCGTATAGTATACATACTTTACTCTTGCCCTCCAGAACCTAGATAGGGACTTCTTTGCGGCCAAAGTATATACTGTAGGCTTAGCTTAGGATGGCTGGGGTCCTCAGTTTAGGTTTTGGGGACCGTCAACTCAATTTAATGGTTTAGGGTCTAGGGTTTAGGGAAGACAGGCGGAAGACATGAGTCTGCAGGGTCCAGAACTCTACACACAACCGCATGCTACAGCTGAAGCCCAAATCGTGGATTTCTGACATCCCCTTAGTGGCATTTCCATATCTTTGCGCTTCCGAGACTGAGTTTTGTTGATGCTGAGGCTTCGAGAGGGCTGTGCTTCAACTTAATTAAGTCCTTCTCCTTACCCTCAAAGGACTCATATATTAAGGCTTTGACTTTGGGCCCAACGACCCTATTATATAAGGCTTGTGGGCTACTTTGATGCTAAGGGTTCTGTATCGGCACCTTGTTTCAGGCTTCAGACTGGACGTAGACATATACCCTTCGACCCGACAGCCACGCTTTATCGGAACTCGCGTGGCAATATACTGCCGGAAAGTTTGGCGGCGTTCCCGAGTTTCCGAAACAACGGGGTCTCTGGAGTCTGGATGTAATGGCGGAGTGCTATGCAACTTTGACATGCAAACTCGACGTAAAATGTGGGCAACCATGAGGCAGAACCATAAGCAGCGCCTCATTTCTTACATGTTCTATAGACATTCAATCCTTACACCTCCGATGTCATCCCCATGAGGCAAGAGATACCCAGAGTCCTGATACAATTTCTAGCATCCTTTCAGCAAAAAGCTGCAACCGTCCTTGCCTCAAGTTCTGGAAGGCACCTCGGTTCGGTTGGGTTTAGGGTTTGGGGTTTAGGGTTTAGGGTTTAGGGTTTAGGGTTTGGGGTTTGAGGTTTAGGAGACGGAGGTTTGGAGTCCATCTCTGATGTGTCTAGTCTGGCGGGAGGCACGGGGGGATTGCGGTTCCTTATTTGGTTTATCTATGCTTAACCAATTATAATTTTAGGACCCTTTAAGGTAAACCCGCCCAAAAAGGACTTGCAATGGAGACTATTTATGTAACTATAGGTAGTATGTGGAGACGAGAGGATACCAGCACTGGTGACACTGTGAGGTTTAAGGTTCTCGAGGCAGACAGCGGCAGGCTGGTGCTTGCTTTTATACTCGGTTTAGGGTTTAGGGTTTAGGGCTCACGTAGACACTACTCAGACACTACCAGAGACGTGAACCCTCAGTGCTATCCGAAAGGGTCCTACAGGTAAGTCCCCATGTTGGGGGATACTTACAAACACAACACTCAGTTATCTGCAGCTGGGATCCTTTGCCCAAAGGGTCCAAGTATTAATATGGTAGCTAAATTGTAGGAATTTGTGCCCCGAAAGTATATAATATACTATAAGTTGGACCCTTTGGGTTGTGCTCAGACATACGCAGAGAGAATATGCAGCCGTGGCACAGCCTCCGCATTTCTGCGCAAAATGCGGGCACCGAGGCGTCACCTGCGCCAGATGCAAAGCATTTCGACTTTCGGCTTAGGGTTTAGGGTTTAGGGATTTAGGTGTTTAGGAGTTTAGGGTTTAGGTGTTTAGGGTTTAGGGGTTTAGGATTTAGGTGTTTAGGGTTTAGGGGTTTAGGGTTTATAGGTGTTGAGGGTTTAGGGGTTTTGGGTGTAGGAACCCTACACCCTGGACCCTAAACTGCTCCCCCCCCACACCCACAGAGATCCCCCAAAAAGTAGATTTTTTGAGAGCTAAGGTTAACCCTGAGGGTCCAAGTACATCATCACCGTTTGCTCTCGCAGATACGAACCGTTACTAACCTGCATAACGACGATATCCAATCCCAATACCTAATTATGGATCCTTTGGATACCTGGGACTTAAAGTAGGCTTTAGGATTGATACTACATGGGCACATGAATCCTTAGGGATACGGCCTATGGAAGCCCCTTCTTCTGCCTCTTCGGTGGATGCTGCAGTTCGCTCATGGATTGCCAGCCGGTACCTCGTTCACGCGGCCCTAAACCCTGAACCCAGAGCCGTAAAGCCTAAACCCTCAGCCCCAAACCCCAAATCCTAAGCCCGAAAGCGGTGCTCTGGAGCTTATTCGGGGCTTTTGCAATTAACAGGCGGTGGGCTCGGCCTTCGAGGTACAGTGCTTGGTAGAAGACGGGGCTTTCCACGGATGTTTCACAGGGTTTAGGGTTTAGGATTCAGGGGGAAAAAAGGGTTTGGGGTTTCAGCAGCCCGATATGGAGCCCGAGAATGCATCGCCCGCCCCTTATGAGCCTTCGGCCCTTATCTACCTCGTAACCATGTCTCGACACCGGCCTGAACATGATTGCTGTAGCTCACCCCTCCTGTAAAGTCTGAACATAAGCCGAACAATTGATGCGGGACCTACAAAAAGCGCAGAGGCAAAGCCCGAAATTGCCAAGGGGTACAGTGAGTCCGAGACACTTTCCTGGCTCCTTCTTCTTGAAGCGATCGTGCTTCGCTACACCCACTTTGAGGTTCCTCAGCGGGCGACTCAGTTGGGTTTCAGGTTGGGAGCCCGTTTGCTAAAACAGATTAGCATAGAGGCATGAGCTATTGGGGGTAGCTACAATTATGATGGGGAGCGGTCAATGGTTTTGGACTGTCTTTGGTGGTGGTGGTGGTGGTGATGATGATGATGACGTCTATGATGATCAAGATGCTGGAGGAAGTGGGTGGCGTGAAGAGGAATGTGATAAACACCGACACGGAGATGCTTCGTGTTGGCATCCCATTTTTGAATGCGGTCATTATTGGCGGTTCTTGCCGCTCTTGTCCCGGAATGCTACTACAGCAACAAAGGCACTTCTGGAACTTGCAGTAGTCTATGCCTGCATCCCTTCTAAGCCTATCAGAAGATACCTCAAAGCCGGTCATCACGTGAACCCAAAGCTTTGCATCACAAGGTCCGGGCCATGTCCCTGTGAATCTCGCTGTTGCTTTACCCTAAACCCTAAACCCTAAACCGTCTTTGGTAGCCAGGGTGCAGCTTCTCCCCCGGCAAGGTTCGCCGAAAGCTGAATTCGAAGGTCTCTTTGTCCTGGCATACTTGGAGGCCCAGGGGACTTAGTAAGTAGGTTATAAGTAGAGTTATAGGTACCCTAAATGGAGTTACCCCAATTATAACCCTACTTATAACCGACTTACTAAGTCCCCTGGGCCTCCAAGTAGCGGTGGCTTTACGGGTATTGGATTCGAGTACAGGGGAGATGGGAGGCAACATGGATGTTAGGGTTTAGGGATTAGGGTTTGGGGTTTAGGGTTTAGGGCAAGTCACGACAATGCCAACAGCATCGCCAAGATGCTATGCTCAAGAAGGCAAGGATGTCTTGATAGACAAGTTCCCCCAGTTGCCTCTCGATCGTGTCAAAGTCTCACCCCGTCCGTCGCAGGATTTGGGGTGTAAACATGGGTATGGGTTAAGTCTTTAGGGTCCCTAAACCTTTCAAACCTTTCAAACACGCCCATGACGAAGCAAAAAGCTTTAGTTTGCCTTAGGCCGGCTCGGCTGCTTCTCATCTTTTCGGGTTTCGGCTCTATGGGATGGGGCTTGGAGACCGGGATTTCGGGTTAGGGCATAGGGCTAAGAATTAGAAGCTGAAAACAAACGCCTGACGGAGTGAGAATCCCAACCACAAAGCGGACCCTAGCCTATAGCCCACAAAGTTCATAAGCTTGAAGCTGCAACAGCAACGTCCAAGCATGGTTCAGCTGCAAGTCCTCAACATCTTAGCCTCCTTGCCACAAGCGTGGCCCGTAACAACTTCCCCATCGGACAATGCGACAGTCCTTCCGTACGTGCAGGTGGACAACTCCATGCCTGACGGTTCTTTCTTGTGGGCCGCAAAGAGGGTTTAGGGTTTTGGGGGTTCAGAGTTCAGAGCTTTGGGTTTAGGCTTTAGGGGTACATCATGACCTATTATAAGGGCACAGGTTGCTTCTGGGGATGGGTGATTGTGCGGATTAGCAGACACCATGGTGCTCGGGAGCATGTGGATGCGCGGTCTTGAGTTGACTCTTTAGGTCAAAAAACCATAGTACTGGAGCATTAATAATTAGAATAGGGTTTTGGGGTTCCTTAATATAATTATAGTACGATATACCCCCAAACCGTACTCTCAATTTTAAGGGCCCTATATTGCCCTACCATGCCCTGAACCTACTTCGGCTGACTGGGACCATGACGCCCCTTTTCAGCCGGACCTGAAGACTTGGTTCAAGGTCCCAGTGTTGGGATGCCGCCCTTAGGGTTTAGGGTTTAGGGGTTTAGGGTTTCGGGTTGATGAGTTTGTAGATTGCGGTGCAGGGCTCAGGGTCTAAGAGTCTAGGGTGAATCGAATTCAGGGACGATGCGGGGTTGCAGCATCAGGCCAAGAACCAGCTAGGGGCTGCCCAGTGCATCGCATTAGCATGCAGTTTCAGTGAGAACTCCATGTTCGATTCAAGGGTCTCGTGTGGGATTCGACTGACAGACATCCACGCTGTACGCAAATTGATTCTTGTTCTTGCGCTTGGCACCGGTACCCCGAATCCTCTATTTCTACGACAAGATGCCACAGTGCACAGTTAAAGGCCATTTGCACCATGAGCATTTGTTCGCGCTGTGTTGTGCTGTCCAGCGTCAGGGCCAAGAAGGCATCTGGGTTATTGGCATCATAGTAACGGCACCATAACATCAAACACACGTCCATCCTTGCTCTTGCCCGTGACAGCGTTGGCCCGCTCGGCAGCGGCAATTGTTCCGCTTGCTGCTCGAGCGAATCAAAACAATAGTCTCAAGTGACGAAATTACTCCCAACTGCCATGGGCCAGGAGCTGCTTCGGCTGATTTGGAGGTTCAGGGCCAAGGGTCTTCGGGGTTTAGAGTTGATACAGTGCTAATCAAAGCAAACGAACACTGCCCCATCAAACTGAGAGCTCTTGCTTTGGGAGGACTTGATGGCTAGCAAAGCCCTCGACACCTTAGAGTGAAAATTTCTGGGCCCACATGTGCAAGTGCAACCTCTGCGAATAGTTCTTGAATCGAACACACAACAACTTCTATCAGGACGGATCAGAGACGACAGGGACAGACAGGTGCAAGGACACAAGAGCAAACACATTAGCACATTGAGCACATACACTAACAACCACTCACGAAGACAAAAACAAAGATAGACACAGACAGTGAGATAGCGACCAAGCCAAGCTCATCGACACCCCCACCCCTAAACCCTAAATTAAAAAACCCAAGCCCTATTCCCTAAACCCTAAACCCCTAAGCCCTAAACCCCATAAATCCCTAAACCCCAAACAGCCTGAGAACTGCAGCCGGGATGCCCATCTTCGTTGATGCGGGCAACGGGGACACCGCGCACCACCTGTCTTAGGGCTTGAGGTTGCTACCTATAGTATTCATTGTAGCTCGTTTTGGTTTAACGTTGAAAATGTTTACGATCGTTTAGGATCCTACAAGATGAGGAAAGGATCTACAGTGGAAACTACAAATGATTGGGTTTTGGGGTGGACTTAAAAAAGTTACTCACCTTATGTACCTAAGGGGACTAGAAGGGCTCTTTTCAGAGGTTCTATAGAAACGGTGTTCTTCAGAAGGGTTTTCGGCGCAATGTGCACATCAAAATCACAGAAGTCAACGAAGATGAAATTCAATGCATGCGTCGTAAGCAGCCCTTGGCAGAGGCGGGACCAGTCTTGTTGTGCTAAAGGAGTGCTGGCTTTGGCATCAAAACTGTTTCTAAGTTGCATGCATGCTTTGGAAACCATATTGCACTCGCCTTGAAACCCTAAGCCCTAAACCCCAAGAGTTTCTCTTAGTTCGACCCGGCCGAGAGGCGTTCCGTTATGTCTCCAGACTGCAATACTGCAAGTACAGATACGATTAAATATGTCCCATGCGAACCAAATGCGAAGTGGTTAAACAATACGATACATGTGGGCATAGTGTCGGGCTTGCAGCACTCATGCGGACTTACATATACTGCTGCCCGTAGCCAGCCGGACACAAAATTTAGAAACAGAACTACTACGGCACTGAGGTCAACCATGAGGCTCTAAACAGCAAGCCCTTACACCAACGACCTCGAATAGAAGCATAACACTTAAGGGTCCATGTGCCCGAATAGTATGTAGCTGGGCCCCAAAGTACCTACATATAAGAACTACTTTAAGTTCAAAGTAGAAACTATGCGCGCCTTAGGGAAAGGGAAACCCCAGATCGCTTTAGAGATGCATTCAACATGCCGCTCCTGCCCACTGCAGAAACATTTTCGTAGTAAGACCGCCTTCAGTCCCATAAAGGCAAATATCAAATGTCCGCAAAGGCCTACCTAGCATGTTGGCCCCTATTCAAGGCGTATTCCGACCGTGTGCATCTGGTGCTTCGGAACAATCACGGCTGAAGGCGTTTGTCAGACTCTTGGATACGTTAATGCTAAGTCGCTAAGTGTTTGGGGCTTCGGTTGTAGATCCGATTGTAGTCCTATAATCAGGATTGGGTAGTTTTGACTACGTAACTTTTGGTTGACAGGCATTAACCAGTTAATCCCCAAATATCAACAAGTCTACATTGCCAAGCCTGTTCTGCCTTCAAGACGTTGACCACCTCGTGCAGCGGCGGAAAGTAGGTCATCCAAAAAGGTACTACATTCCAGGATTTAGGTTTAGGTACCCCTACTAAACCCTAAACCCTGGACCCTAAGCCCTAAACTCTTACAGACAAGGGAACTACAGCCAGAAAACAACAGGCTAAGGGTGACCTTCGTCGATCGCGGTCAGGGGTTTCAAGGGTACCAATGGCTCCATTATAGTTCCTTTTTGGGATTGCCTTGCACCTTGAACCCTGAATGATCCAGTTCGGATTTCGGTGTCTCGGGATTTACTTGAGGTTCCTTTGGTGCCTTCTTGGGGTGTGCTTGGGGTCTACTTGGGGTTTTGGGCATTTCGTTTTTGGGACTAAGTCGGGATCCGGGATGACGGCGCAAGGTCGGGGGGGAGGCTTGGGTCTGAAGGCAAAGTGCCCGAAACAAAACTTATGCTTATATGGGTAGTTTTCTAAATTAGGGTACCTTTTGAAGTTCCCGAAACGGTACAGAATTAGGGTACCTGTTTAAGTCCTCGAAACGGTACAGCACCATGCTTGGACCCTAAGTCAGGGGAGAGCTACCCTATTTGAGATTTAGGGCTCAGGTTTCAGCCGCTGAGGGCTCAAGGGCTGAGGCGGCCTCGGGTTTGAGGGTTTAGGGTTTATAGGGTTTAGGGTTTAGGGTTTAGAGATTTAGGGTTTTGGGCCGTTTATGGTTTAGGGTTTAGAGATTTAGGGTTTTGGGCCGTTTATGGTTTAGGGTTTAGAGGGTTTAGGGTTTTGGGCCGTGTAGGCTTTTGGGCTTTCAGTGCATTTAGGGTTTCGGGGTGGAGAGGCACTTTAAGGTCCCCTTGCCCCACAACACCAAACACCGTGAGGCAGACCAGGCCTCTCTACGGGAGCCTACGAACTCACGGTGGTCGTGGTCGTTTTAGAAACCCGGAACCCGATGTTTAGGGTTTAGGGTTTAGGATGACCTTTGGGTGGAGGAATGTCTGAAAGGCGCCAAGCTTAGCAGCATAGAGGGAAAATGTGGCATGGACTGCCTGGATGTTGGGACCCCGGACTATCTACCATGCTACCTATGAGCCCCAGGCCCTGGACCAATCGCCGGCAGGCAGCCATTGTGTCGTCATGAAGAAACCCATGGGCGCCCGCTACCTCACGCTGCCCAAAGATTAAAGGCTTGTCGGTGTCTCTTTTGGCTGGAGGTCTGTATTACGACATGTCCCAAAGGCACCAAGTATTAATATGGTAGCGACTTTGTAGGTATTTGTGATGTACCATACTACAACTTGGACCCTTGGGGTGTATAGTTTGGACCTTCGGGGTTTGGAGTTTGTGCATCTATCCGACTAAACCCTAAACCCTAAACCCTAAACCCTGAACCCTGAACCCTAAACCCTAAACCCTACACCCTAAACCCTAATCCCGACCGTCGTCTTGGCCGGCTAGGACGTGGGAACTTCGGGCTGGCCTTGGGCCGCGCCCTGCTTAGGGCTTTAAAGGGCTTTGGTGGTTGAAAGGCCCAGGGGCTCAAGGGTTTACGGTTTAGGGCTTTAGGGTTTAGGGTTTAGGTTAGGGTTTAGGGTTTAGGGTTTAGGGTTTAGGGCTTTAGGGCTTCGAGGTTTAGGCTTGAGGGTTTAGGCTGTCAGGCTTATAAGGACTGAAATTCCTAAGGAATTGTAAGGAACCCGGAAAAGGGAGCCTTCAGGTAGGAGATTAAGACCGGATGTGTAGCGAACCCTGCGGAACCTCCGCAGCACCGCGGCCGCGGCGCAGCAGCGGGCTCAGTCGGCATAACATCCCCAGAGGGTCCGAGTGGCAGTCTCATATATGGGTAGTTCTCTAAATTAGGGTCCCCTTTTGGGGTCGCTTTTACAAGGGTGCCGTACTATAAAATGGGACCCTAGTTTAGAGAACTACCCATAAAAGTTTCGGGGTCCAACCATTAGCAAGATAGGGGCCTACTATATTGGTACTTGGACCCTTTGGGATCCGCACGACGCGGGCGTTTCAGGGATTGGGGTTTTTAAACCTCGAACTCTGGGACCACACCCTGGGTTCACGGACTGGGGGTGATGGTATAACCGTCGGCCACCAACCCTGGGATACACCAGGGGTCCAGGGACTGCTGGTTGGAGGCGAATCGGTAGTTATAAGTAGGAGGGTATGGTCATGACGCACCCATGAACCTCCAAGTGGGGGTAGGGGTTTGAGGTAAGCCCAAAAGTGAACTACCATGGAGCCTATGCGTAGGCTTGCTTCCGAAACATGGCGGGGTGGTGACACTTCTCTTCGGGCTCAAGAACAGAGGATTCAGGGCACTTTACTCCGATGTACCCCTGGGTTTAGGGTTTAGGGTTTAGGGTTTAGGGTTTAGGGTTTAGGGTTTAGGGTTTAGGGTAAACCCTAAATGAACCCTGAACCCCTGGCCGAAAACTCAAACCCTCAAGACTAAACCCTCCATGAACGCTCAACCCTGAACCCACGACCCCATAAACCCCTGAACCCTAAACCCGATCTTGTAGCCTCTTTCTATAACCTCGTATAAGGAAAAATAGGGACCCTACCAAAAAGGTGGTTTCTGATAGAAGGTCAGGCTTAGAACACAAAGATGCTAGTCTAAAAAACTCGGAGCTTGCCATGGTGTTGGAAACCTAGCTCAGCACCCTCCAGCATGTAAGCGCTAAGCTTGAGGCAGCACAACACAAGCATCCTAAGCCTAATGTAAGGGCCTTAACAATTAGAATAGGGTTTTGGGGTATATTATGCTATAATTATAATAAGGAACCTCTGATTATAAAGGGCCTCCTATATTAAGCTACAAGCTCCCTAACTTTCATGAATCTTCAAAGAACCCCGAAGCCTGAACCCCCAAAAGCCTTTAAAGTTTTAGAGTTGAGTGCCCTTAATCAGGGTCCAGGGCTCAGGGTTTAGGGCTCCTAAACCCTAAACACCCCCCTAACCCTTAACCCTATAAGGGGTTTCTACGGTCCCCTTTCTGCTACTCCGGTGAGAAAAGACCACTTCTCCTGGGACGAAGCCAGCAGTTCGGGTTTAGAGTTTAGGGTTTACAGTAGAAGCCAGAAAGTTGGAACATCAATATCCTCATGCCCTTAAGGTAAAGTATGGAGGATCCTATAGCACTAACCCTCCTAAACCCATGTTCCAACTTTCTGGGATTCGCTGTAGGGACAAGTTGTGGTGTCAGAGCTCACCGGACCTCCGAGCCCTAGGATGTTCTCTGCGGGTCTTTTGTTCATGCAAAGGACGTACGAGAGGGCTGTCCAAAGGGGGACCTGCATGTAGAGAGCCGCCATATTTCTCCTTTCCGGCTTATAGTCATAGCTGCCTCTGACATCAGAGGGGTCAGTGAAACTGTAACGTTTCGAAGAGCAGGGGAAAGCATGGGTGCGTTACCTGGGCCAGGAAACATGCCTACGATACATGGGCTCTGCTAGGCTTTCGGGTTTAAGGCGCTATCACAATTTCATTTTCGGAGTGTAATGAGTCAGTCTTTCTTCCATCCCTTCCCCACCGCTGTCGATCGTGTGGGAACGCGAAAAAACAAGGGACAGCACAAGCCGAAAGCAGCGACACGACAAGCTAACAGCGAAAAGCCACAAGCAGACAAGCAGCAAACAGCCATAAACAACAGAAGCCCTCTTAAAAAACATGCGAACCAGGGCACCCGGGCAGTGCCATTCCTTGGTCAATCCCTTGCAACACCAAAGCGACCCCGGAACCCTGAACCCCGAACCCTAAAGCCTCAATGTAAACCCAACATGTCAGTGCAGCTCTCGGCCATCAAACTGTGCCCGCCCTAACCCCACTGTCCTGAATGTTCACACAGATTCTGCGATCCCAAACTGAACCCTACCCTTTCCATGAAACTTACACTTTCGACCCCTTAAAGATTGCGTGGTTTCGACCAACGACCCTTACCCCTAAGCCTTGAGATTTACTGAAGTCCAAACCCCGAAACTAACAAGCCCTACACCCTAAACCCTAAACAGGCCCTAAACCCTAAACCTTAAACCCTAAACCCCACACCATTCCCCAGATCCTGCAGTTCGCCCTGCTCCTTTGGAGCGACAGCGAATTACATCGGGCCGAGGACCGTTAGACTTTACCTTAGGGCTCAGAGTCGCCAATCTGTGGGCTTGGCGGTTTCGGGTTTAGGGTTTAGGGGTTTAGGCTTGAAGGTTTAGTTTCGGGTTTAGGGTTTAGGGGTTTTAGGGGTTTAGGGTTTAGGGAACACAATTTTTCCGATATGCCGCAACCTCTCGAAAAGCCCCATGGGGAAGGAAGGTGGCTTGAGGGCTGGGGGTTTAGGTTTCAGGGCATGAAGGCCAGACTTTACGAACTCTGGTTCTTGCAGATGAAGCTCTACCTATAGGTAGCTCTCTAAATCAGGGTCCCTTTTTAGGTCCCCAATATAGTACGGCACCCTTATAAAAGGGGACCCTAAAACGGACCCTAACTTGGAGAACTACCCCTATATATGGGAACCCAAAGACCCCGTTCGTTAACGCTGCCCTAAACCCTAAACCCTAAACCCCCTAAACCCTAAACCCTAAACCGTGGCTTTATGTTATGGGCCCAACGAAATTCTCCTCGTGGGACCAGGGGAACGCGAGCCCTAAGTTGAAGTTGAACTAGGCTGGCCGGCTCAAGCCTCTTTTAGGGTTTAGGGTTTAGGATTTAGGGTTTAGGGGTTTAGTGTTTAGGGGTTTAGTGTTTAGGGTTTAGGGTTTAGGGTGGGATCGTACCAACCCTAATAAGTTGCAATGAAGGATCGCCCTAAACGCCAAACCCTAAAACCCTAAACCCTAAGCCACCACCCTAAATCCCCCAAACCCTGAACCCTAAACCCGAACCCCTAAACTACCTCAGCTGCCTACCGTTCTACAGGTCGGTCTTAGACCCTCCGCGGAAAGTTTCCGGCAAGTGATGTGAGAGCCTCTGCCACCAGGTACGACCCTAAACCCTAAACCCCAAACCCTAATTCCTAAATCCTAAACCCTAATTCCTAAATCCTAAACCCTAATTCCAAAATCCTAAACCCTAAACCCCAAACCCTAAACCCTAAACCCCAAACCCTAAACCCCATATAGGGTGTCGGGTATAGGGTTTATCTTCGAAGCCCGAAAGGATCATGGACCCATGGCCTTCCTAGACCCCCAGATACCCATAGGCTCCCACTATAGTTCCTGCTTGTTGGTATAGGGTTTAGGGTTTAGGGTTTAGGGTTTAGGGTTTAGGGTATATTTATATTTAGGATGGTATAAGGTAATCCGACAAGGAACTACTATGGAGCCTATGGGTACCCATTGTTAAGGAAGATCAGGGCTCCATGAAAGGGGCACTTCGGGGGTCCTGGGTTGGCGTGTTGCTGAGGGCTCAGGTTTTGCGGCTTGTGGTTTCGGGCTTAGGGTTGAGATATAGGGCCTCCTGGAGTGTAGAAATTTTCGGGCTTACAGTTCTTTGGAAGCTGGTAACCAGAAATACCATGCGACCTAATTTAGGGACATTTCTAAAAGTATTACTATTCCTTCGGGGCCTTGCTATTGAAATCGAATATACCAGAAAACCCCGTTCTAAGTCCTCCGAGCCCTATACTGCGTGATGGGGACCCTTGGTTTCTTTGCCAGAACTCTAAGGGTCCAAAGGACCCAATAATCAGGTACTTTGGTTGCGGATAGTAGTTATCTAGGTTAATATTTGGGAGAGTATATGATTATTAGGTACTTGGACCCTTAGGGAGAGACTCTCATCGTCCTATCCAGGGACTCACTCCCCACATTCTCTACGCATGCAGCACCGCTTTGTCGAACTACGAGATCAGCTCTCAGCAGGTGTCCAGGACCACAGACCAACCTCAGTCTAGAAAGGTCCGGCCCTTTAATAGAGCCGTTATGGCCCTTAATAGTGGGTATTTAGGGTATATTACAGGGTAGTTGGGGGGTCTAGGTAGGGTTTATAAATGTTGAATCGGGTACTCTATGTGCAGGAATCTGCCGTCTGTCGCTATAGCTATAGTTGTTTGTGTGAGATGACACTTGCTTTTGCTTCATCGCACACATGGGTCAACCCCGCAACCAAACAGAACTGCTGCAGTC